CTTTTATTTTACTGTAATAACCGGTCAGCAGCCGGTGGATTAACCGAGGTCCCTGTGCCTCAGACGCTTGGATCCTGCGTGGAGCTGAGCTCGGTGTGCTTGGGTTGTGTGTGGGGAGCTCCGTGGGCCCGAGCGCCGCTCTGCAGAGCGCTCAGGAAGCAGGGGATGTGCTAAGGATTTTTTTGACAAAAAGCAGAAGTGTCACCGGAGGGGGGGGCGGGGGGGGGGAAGAAACATAACAAAGCCCAGCAAGGGAAACCGTTCTCTTGTCGGCTCCCACGAGAACCTGTGCCTTGCTCTCTGGAACAGCCGTAAAATTGCAGGGAAAACAAAGGTGGTATTTTGCGGTGGTGGCTGAGGGGTGGGGATTAGGTCATGCTGCGGGGGGGTCCGAGTCTGGCTGCTGTGCGAGCGAGGGCTGCAGGATCCCGGGTCAGACATGCCGCTCACAATGCGAGCTGAGCCGTGAAGTTTCCGTCTCCAGCCCTCTTGCTGCCGTGTCTGTGTGTGCTTTCGAACGCTCCGGCTGCGATCCGAGGTTGAGATTCTTTCATGCAGTTTTATCTTTCCCTCGCTTCCCCCCCCCCACCTTTTTTTTCTCGTAATGGCAAGTTAGCAGCAGTTTGCTGTCATGCTGGAACTATTCCTGTCTAAGTTGTCCTCTCTTCTGAGTTCCGATCATCCTCAACACCCCCAGAATCTTTTCAATGAAAGAACGTCCTCCTCTGAATCCAAAATGGGCTCTCTCTTCCCTCCCTGTCTTCTGCCATTATCCTCACGCACCAGCTCTTCCTCTAGCTAGTGGTATTGCCAGCACCGTGGCCTAAGGCCAAGGGAGTTAGACAAAGCAGTCCTTGCAGTTGCACATATCGCATTCAGAGTGATATGACTGCAAATGGCCCCCTCCTTTCTGGAGCTTAATTCTGAGTGGAAGGAGATTGCTTCGCTATTGTGCTTCAATTAAATGCCCCCAGACAGGAGGATAAATCCTAGGTTTGCTTCCAAACCTGGGGTGAAGGATCGCCCCCACTCCGCCCTGTCCTGCAGAGGAGAGGAAAACAGGAAATCTGTCCCTTTTGGCCTGAAATCAGCCCTGCAGAAGCCTCTCTGTATGAATGCTGAATATTTTGGTCTCGGCCGACGGAGGGCTCTGGCCAGCTGTGGATCTCGCAGGGATTTTCCTCTGGGAGGTAATGCTGCTTCCCTGCAGTGCAGGGCTTCTGGTGCAGGAGTATTTGGAAAGGCAACGTCGGCTCAGCTCTGGAGCTGTGTCCTTGCTGCAGACAGAACTCTTCTCAAGTTTAGGCTGAGAGTGGCTGCTCTGCAAAATCAGGTTTAAACTGTGCTCAGTAAGGGGAGCAAGTGAGGTGAAGCAGTTGTGGTTGGTGGGTGACTGTGCTCTGTTCTTCACGGGAGCCTGTTTGGGACTTAAAAATCTGGCCTGAAGTCCTGAGGGAGAGGAGTTGTTGGGGAGGGAGGAAATATGGGGAGGAAGCTTCTGTGGGTTGTCAGCAGATCTGGGGATGACTGCGGGTGAGGAAAATGCTGCTGCTCCGCAAGTGACTCAGGATGCTGGAAGCATCTGGGTGCTGACTCCTCACCAGGCTGAGGGAAGGAGAACGTGTTGTCACAGCAGAATTCGGTGCCTGTTCCTCGTCCCCATTGCCCAGGTCAGTGGTGCCACTTGGCCCTGGGTGTCTGCAGCTGGGCTTGCAGTATTTTGTCTGAATTATCAGTGAACTTCCCTGGAGGGCCTGTGCTCTGGGAATTGGGCATGGAGCACCCCAGGCAGTCAGTTTGTTTCCTCTTGCTTATCATACTGAATCCTGTGAAGTAGTTTCCTGCTTGTCTTGTCTTGTGTTTCATATTGTTTAACTCTATTCCTCTGTAAGAGGGCCAGCTGCTGAGTTCAAGTAGAGCATCTCCATTGACTTCAGTGGGACCAGAGAGATTTACACCAGCTGTAAATTGGTCTGTAGTTTGTCTTTCCCTTTGTTTCCGTGTGTTTTCTGCATCTGTGGCTATCCACCAGCATTCCTATTTAGTTCAGAGTATGCACAGGTCAGAAGGAAGTAGTTTTAAGATACAGAAGCCAGCAGAGACAGCTTGGGATTTTCCTTTGGTTTTGTTCTCATTCTTGCAGGAATGTCAGGTTCCAAGACATGACCCTGTTCCTGTAATAAAGCCTAAAATCTATTGTATGTTGCATCTGGAAAAATGAGTTCCAGCAGGCTGTGACAAGGGAAGAAGCTGTGTCTTGAACAAGTGGTGTCCTGCACAAGAAGTACCACAGTAGCTAAGGACCAGAGTCACTCTCTGTGCACCTGCCACACCTCACAGCAGCTGTAGGGTTCTTGGTGAAAAATGTCAGTTCTCACTGAGAGGTGAAATGAGAAGAATTTCCCTCACTGGGGCTGTAGTGTGCAACTGGGGAGACTGATTCCATTCAGTCCTGAGAAATGACACCAAGCATGCTAGGCTGTTCCTTATCTTATTAATATTGCAGTGCAGACTTGCAAGAGCAAATGGCTTACTTGTCACCCTTTGGAGGCAGCTCATGTTTGATACTGTCCATGTTGAGAGGTTGCTTTTGGAGTGGGAGTGTTGGGAAGAATCCTGTTTGTAGGCAGAGCAGAGTGTTCATGCCTTAGCAGAGAGATAACTTCTAGGAAATACACTCCCCCCCCTTCAATTCAAGCTGAAATTTGCTGGTTTCCTGATCTCTTGAAATCCACATGAAGTTAAAAATTATGTGAAAAGAAGCACGCTGAACACGTTTCAGAATTAGCAATTTTCAAGTGGACTTGTTCAGACGTTGAGAAAACCAGTGCTTTTGGCTTTGTCTACCTGTGTGTTGAGCACTGGCATGGTTTTCACAGTCAGCAAATCTCCACATCATCCTCACCCATGACATGCTGGTGAAGTTGCAGAGTGGTTTTGGTTCTTGCTAACTTGATTCCTTTTGGATAAAAGTAAAGTAAAAGCTCTGCTCCAGTTGTGCAACACTGATGCCTCATCCCTTTTGATGGGAACACAAGGATCCAAACCAAAGACTGGGCAGCTTTGAACTGATGCTGATGCTTAGTCTGGGGCAGCAGACTAAAATCTAATCTTAAATCATCCCCCCTCACCCCAGCTGCGTGTGGTGGATGTGAACCAAGTGCTTTCATCTTCTGATACTTCCCTTGTGTCAAATAACTTGCCAGTGTAGAAGTAGCCTGTGTCTTAAGCTAGAAAAGAGGAATGATGTGGAGTCCAAGTGAGTGTCTTTTGTTTTTCTGATGTAAAAAATAAAAAAAGAGCCAGGAGGGTGGGAAGAGGAGACATAAAACGTGACTCTTATCCACATGGAAGGATTAAATAGAACGATGGTACTAAAGGAAAGGCTCGGAGTGTGACAGATCAAAAGAGCAAGGCCTCTGGCTGTTACAAGAAAGAACGTCCTAGTTCTTGAGAACATATTTATGTGTGCACACAGGATATTTTTTAAAAGGAAATAGTTTTATTCAAAGAAAGGTCTGTTTCTGCCACCAGGGCGGTTTAAGGGGGAAATAGTGGGTGAAAATAAATTTTTCACAGGCAGTGCTATGAGGAATGTTTTTGTGCTAATGAGAACAGGGTCTATTATTTTAAATTAAAAAAAAAATAATATATTGGAAGGTTGGGGGAAACGGGGGCCGTCTGTTTTCACTCTGGGTTGGCACCTCCTGTCGAGTTCAGTGTGTGGCTTGGCTGTGCAGTAGGTCTGCTTGTACAGACGTGCATGTGGTGTCCTGTGGATGGCAAGGAGTTCTTGTTGAACTCGAACCAAGTGCATACAGGGCTAAGGAATCAAATATTCTTGTAGTCAGCCAAAACTCTGCAGTTGTGGTTCAGGCTGCGTTCAGATACTCACTGCAGAAATGGCCGTGCTAGTTGAAGGTGTTACCTCTCCCCTGCACTGGAGGATACTTGCCTGGCAATGTATGTTGGCAGAGTAGCTTCTCTGAGCATTTCTCATGTGTTTTGTTGCAAAGTTGTCTGGTTTCTGACAGAAGTTACATCCTCTCAGTTACAATATTCCAGCCTGGTTGTCTCACACTGCATCTGTCAGGAATCAAAGTGCTCTCACCTGGAGCAGATGAGGAGGGTCCTCCAGTTGTGTGGCAGAGGCAGCAACCTCCAGCACTGGGCTCTGGATGATGAGGTAATGGCCATTAGCCATCTAAATGGCAACAGCCTTTATGTTACAAACAACCTCAGCTTGAAGAGGCTGTGACAGTGAGATTCCACAGACTATACCATGTACCTTGGATAAACTCCAGGCTCCAGGTATTGCTTCTTACACGGTGTCAAGTTCACATGTACAGAGAGTATGTAAAATGGCAGTTTACCTGTGGTTTTGCAGGACCTTACAAAGTACAGGCCAGGACAGGAACTTGTGTTCAGCAGGGGTTGGCTCTTGACTTGTCTAAGTCAGTTCTGCATGAGGAACTCAGTGAGTTGGGCAACTACTGATTTTACTTTGAGTAAAGGAGTGTGACAGTGGAGCTGTGTAGATGTCGTGGCATCTACTGGGAGCAGATGAGGGGGGAGTACTTCACTGTCCTGTTCCTTCAGGGTGCACAATAAGCTGCCTTTCCAGTTACTTCTCCAGGAAGCAGCACCAATGGAATTAAGAATTAAAACAAATTTGCATCACTGCTCAGGTTTGGAGACAGCAGCAAAGGAGCTGAATGAATCCCTACAAACCTATTGGAAATTAATGGGAAGATTCCCTGTCAGTGAGAGTTTAGGTAAACAAAGATTGATTCTAGATCCATTGTTTCCCAGGGTGTTAATTTGGGCTTCAAGAGACTTCTGGAAGGAAAAGATTTTGATACAGAAATCTCATTTTTGATTGAATTTTCCACCCTCCTGATTAATAAAGATAAATATTGATTAACAAGAAAATCACTATATTTTTGAGGGGAGAAATGCTTCTGGTAGTCTTCTGTTTGCATACAGAAATAAAAGACATTCTTGGCACAAGAATAAATGGGTGTATAAAAGGTTTTGTGTACATTTAATTAGGAAAGTGGAGGGAAGAGAGGGTATATATTAGTTTAGATTTTAAAGAGCAGCAAGCACTAAGACAATTTGGGATGTGGTGCAGGGTGTCACTTGAATCCAGTACCCAGCACACTCCCTTTTTGATTCTGTCACTTCTTAACTGTCTTATCTCCATTGTCATTTTAACATGAGAGCAAGCCTCAATTTCCCCCCCCCCTTTTTTTTTTTTCTCTCTAGTGAATACCTCATAATCACACTGATTTTTGACTGGGTATTGACTGTGAGACTTCCTGGCCTAATTTTTCTTCTAGCTATAATAGCAGTAGCTGGTGGTTTGGTTTTTTTGTTTTTTTTTTTTAAATTTTTGTATGTGAGATATACAGGATGTTCAGACATACAGATATATTTTTTGGGTTAATTGAGTAATAGTCATCCAAGACCCAGGGCTTCTCCTTGAGATAAACATACGAAGTGATGGGTCAAAAAGCTCAAGGTCTGCGACCCTTTGAGATACTAATATCCCCACAATTAATTTCATTTTAATGATTGCATCATCTTAAATTGAGGTGAAGTCAAGGATTTTTCTTTTTTTTTTTTTTTTCCCCTCCAGCTGAGTTTGACTGGCAAAAGTTCTGAGATGGGTGTATGGAGGCTGGTACTGTGGCCAAGTCAAATCCTTTTCTTTGTTCTCTGGGCCTGCTGCTGCTGATAAAGTGGTCGGCGCATGGCATTATGTCTTATTACATTTTTGATGCAGACTGCAAAGAAACGGGTAAACTCACCATGGTTACCACGATCTGTCACTTGGCAGGGCACGCCGTACTCAGCGATGGCCTCTAGTGTCTGCAGCACAGCTCTGCATACGTGGGTACGGGAGACAATACAGCTCCCTGGGCTGCAGCCCCACCGAGCCGGCTGCCCCGGCCCCGGGCTCTGACTCAGAGTTGCCTGCTCAGAGTTCTTGTTTGGTTTTGTTCAGTGTTGACTGAGTCACTGCTGGATTCAAGCTCCCGTGCTGAGACCAACTCCTGTCCACTGCTGGCTTTCACATCTGGGAAACTTTCTTGGTCAGGCCCTACTTTCCCTGCTTGGTTTTGGCACATCATGTTTCTAGGAGGGTTTCTTCCTTATCTAGACACATCCTGCTGTGTTATTTCTTACAGGCCAAGTATGTGTCATTGCTTCAACCGACATAATCTGAAACAGAGACTAAATTTTCTGTACTAAATTATCTTTAACCAATAATCTGCTGATAAATTGGGTTTTGTTTTGCATGGTCTGCAGCTGAGGTTTGCTCGGTGGGTAGGGCTGCAATCCTGAGCACGGTCATTAGAGTCCTTGCCTTAATCCTGAACCAGTTTGGAGCTCCCAGGTCTTGTATGTGACTGCTTGCAATAATTGCTCAGGAACAAGTCTTTGCAGGAAGGGTCTTTTGTTTTACTGTGCATGAGGAAAAGTCGCTGAAGTCTTTCTCTGCTTAATTGAGATAATTAAACCTTCTTACCTTGCAGCACAAGGGGCTCATTAACGTTTTTGAAGCATTTTGAAGTCCTTGGAGGAAAGATGTGGTTTGCTGTTGTGTCATGTTTGATAACTGTTGAAATTTAGTCATCTGGACTTGAAATACTGACTTGAGTTGTAGATACAGGAATTTTACAATTGAGCTGATAATGTGAAGAACTAATTGAGAGAATAGCTGGCAAGTGTAGTGTTCCTTCTGTACTTTAAGGGCATGTTGTTTATGTTTTTTTGGGTTTTACTCTGCTTTAGCAAAATGTGACAGCTCCACATGAAACCTTGGTGACAGAGATGCAGATTGTAATGCTGTAAAATTTAGCATCTTAGTTAAAGACAGAGAAAACTTGCTTTTTAAATGTGACCTAGTGACCAGCCCAATTTACCATTTTGGGATTTCACATCCAGGTAACTGGTAAAAATTGAGAACACACTCTCTTCTCATAATGAACACACCGCCACAGTGATACCCTGTGATTAATTCTGAAGTGGAGACTTCCCAGCTGAGGAGAAGAGCCTGTTCCACTATGTTCAGCAGTGCTTTTTACCCTGTAACTTTTTGCAGTTTCTCTGTAAAATATGAATGAAATCACTTGCAACTCTAGAACAAAGCTGAAGATTTACATAGTTCTGAGCCCCAGTGACTTGTAGTATCAGTTTAATTTAGATTTAAATGAAGGTTGGTAAATGAGATCTGCTCCTCAAGTGAAAGACAGTTGGGAATTTTCAGCGCAGGAGTTTGTAAGGGGGAAGGTTTTTCCAGACAGCAGGCAGCCTGTCTGTGCCTACAGGCGAAGACGGCAGCATCGGCGGGTGCAGGGGCACTTCAGCTGCAGGAGTGAGCCAGTGGGGTGCTGTAGTGCTCCCTCAGTCCTGAGCGTTCAGTCCATAGCCAGCAGGACCTCCAGCACTCCTGTGAAATGGGCAGCATAATTAAGCCCCCTAAGAAAAACCTAAAAGTTGTTTCTCAAAGCCAAATTCTTACCGTTGTGGGGTGAGGGGGAAGAAGCGTTTTGAATGTTTATTTCTGGGGCACTTTGTCACTGATCATATTTGGGTCTGTTTCTGTACCTCCTAGCTGACTCAGAACCCTGTAGATGTGAATATAATCTTTTATAACTGTAGGAAAAGTAACCGTAACCCCAAGTGATGCTGTTTACTGGTCTAGCACAATTTGACTGGCTAAAAACATTTGGTATCACACAGGGGGAAAACGGCTGCTCTCCTCTCTTCTGGTGTTACACAATGAGCAGCAGATCTGACACACCTCAACTGACTGTGCCCTGTGAACAGTTTTGGCATCGGCTGAAAATAGTACTGAGGGTAACTTGCATTGGCCATGCAATGACACTTTGAGTTGCAAAATTACTTTCAGATAACTTGCACTGTAAAAGTAAAAATAGCACAGCACATTAGACTCATCTGTGTGGAATGTATATATGCAAAAATAGGGCTCCTTAATATTTACAGTTGGTCTAGGCAGCACAACCTGTCATGCTGCACTCTTTCACTTTTAGGCAAACACTGATAGTGTTGCAGGCTGTGCTATTTCCAAATGCACAGCAAACAGGAGAGAAACGTTAATGTAACTGTTTTCTTCCTAGCAGACTGTGACTCTCAAATGCCATTAGGGAGCTTAGCCAAAGGTGAGAGGTCACAGCTTTAGAAAAAAGTGATTAAAGTGTGTCCCAATGTAACAGACTAATTAATCGTTAGATAATAACAGACTTTTTTCTGCTCTTCTCTCTCTGCAGCTGGGAGTGTTCACTCTCCCTCCACAAGCATGGCAACATCTGCACAGTATAGACAGCTTATAAACGACTACGGACCCCCGTCTCTAGGCTATACACAAGGGATGCAGGTACAGCTCTGCTTGTTGTTCTTCTTTAATCAGATCACTGACCCCACGCTTGCATAGGAGCGTGGACTGCAGCCTGTAATCTGAGGTATTCCTCCCTCCCACCAAGATGTGAAATCAAACCCAAATGGCAGACTGATTCATCACACATGTCTTGGGATCGAATTAGACTGAGCAGGGTGCTGAGTGAGATTGGTTACTAATTAACCATTAGTCCCCTCTGAGTCACAGCGAAACATGTCTTGAGTTATGTTCTGATAGCAAGGGCTCTAATGTATTTTAAAATCATTTGTTAAAAAAATGAGTATTTCAATACTGGTTTTCTTCAGCAAATTTATACTCCAAAATGTGGTCTCATGAAGTGTGTCAAAGTCTGTCCCACGGGCTGCTCCAGGAATCCAGTGGCAAACTTCCTGTGAAATGTGTTTGACTTTGTAGCATTTCCCTTATGATATGGGCAGTTTTGGTTTACCTGCTTCTCACTCTCTGCCTAGCTACCTTCTCCACAAAATAGACACCTAAACATTGAAAAAAGCAGAAACAGAGTTAAAGAAGCAGTGCTCAGTTTGCTGTTTGATCCCAGCTTTTGAAGGGCACCTAGCATCATGTCCAGCTGTAGCTGCAACTCCAGAAAGACATGTTTATATAATACACCTGAATTTTATTTATTTATTTATTTTAAAAGTGGCTTCCAGGGCTGTGTCTGGTCCTCCATGAATTTCCAGTTGCTGTTTCTTGTCATTGTTTTGGTTTTAGCAGTATTTGATTGACACTATTTTACTTCCAACTGCAGGGTACCAGCAGCAGTCAAGTACCGCAGAGCAAATATGCAGAACTTCTAGCTATCATAGAAGAATTAGGAAAAGAGATTAGACCCACATACGCTGGGAGTAAAAGTGCTATGGAGAGGCTAAAAAGAGGTAACATTTAAATTTATTTTAAAAAAATGGTGACCCATACACTTTGTGCACTGACTGCTTGCATACAGCCTTGTGACAACTGTTTCCTTTGAAAAGAGACAGCTGGCTTGAGCTTGTTATTAAGCTGGGTGTATTCAGAAGCAACTGAAACTCTGGGATACTCTATTCATACTGTTTTTGATAGATAAAACAGTGACAAAACATGTTTCATGTGCATGAGGGGAGTTTCAGTTAATAGAACCCTTCAGGTGTCTAATGGGTATGTTCTTTCAGGTTTCTGGTGACTTACTTGCCCCTTCAATTCCCTTTTCTCCCCGGTCTAAATATACAGCCAAGCATTGTTTACTTCTTCTCATAGACATCACCCATCTACTTGACTCAGGAGTCTTTACTGAAAGTGCATTTTGTCTAACGAGATACTGCACTGTGGGATTTCACACTAAGGCTGCTGGAGAGAACAGCTACAAAATTTTTTTTAAAAAAAGATTGTCAGGGAAGGCTGTTCAGAGTGAGATGTCAAACACACATTCCTCCTCTCTGTGGAGTCTTGGGCTGCTTCAGCTCTGTTACCTATCATCAAGTGGATGTCATTAAGAGTCCACTAGTAAGGGATGTAGAAGCTTTTAGGCCTGGCTGATGAGGTCTGTCTAGCTCTGCTTTGTCAGCTAAAAGGGGTAATAAATGCCCTTTCCTTGCAGTGTAAAAGAAACCCCCACGTGCCCCTCTGCTGACATCAGCTTGACATTGTCCTCTGCAGGGGACGTGCAAGGGATATTTCTGAAGGAGCAGTGGCACATTCCACTGCTCCAGCTCCTGAAATGACCCTGAAAGGCCATCAACAGCAGTTGTGCTGGCAGTTCTATCCTTTGCCAGCATAACCCAGTTGCCTTTTCCTCCCTTTCCTTGGTCCTTGTGCCGAGCTTGGCTCACGCATTCCATGTGGAATGGGAATGTTCCTGTAACAGACTAACTTCACCACCTTGCAAATCCCTCTTACATTTACCCAAGACTACAAAGCTTTATTTAAGGCTCAACCATTATGGAAGAGTAATATATCTGCCGTGACATGCAGTAAAATGACTAGTAGCTGTTCTGGGAAAGGATGCAATAAAGTCTGCTGATGAGTGGTAAGTGGAATCTGGCCCAGCTAAAATCAATGTTGCTGGAGTCTCTCTTTATTGCATTGCCTGAGTCAGTATTAATAGCTCATGAATGGCAATAGGCTAACAGGGACAACTTGAGAGAGAGTAGGAGAGATGCAGATGTTCTCCAAGTGGAATGGTTCAGTTTGGTGAAGAAAAGTTGTTTTGCTGCTTCTTGCAGTATTTAGTTTGTTGGTTAGTGTAGGTTTAAGATTCATTGCTGCCACTGTTACTTGCCAGTGTTGAGAAGAATCCCAAATAAATACCTTTTGCTGCCATCTTTTGGTCACAAACATACCTCTTTGCATTTTGGGAGAGTAATGGCTGAAGGAGCATGTGCAAGTGTAAGACAAAAGTGATTGAGGGTAATAACCACGTGACTGCAGCCTCCATGGCCATGAGGAGATTATTCCTGAAAAAAGTCCCTGTCCCCAGCTCTACCTGCTCCTAAGCATAGAGGCTACTGACCTCTAAAATTGGCCAAATTCCCAGTGTTCTACATAATTCAGGGCAGTTCTGCTGCATAAACTGGGCGTCCTGCCACCAGCCCCAGGTCTGCACTGCTCCGAGTACTGGGTTGTGCATCCCACAGCTGCAGGGTGCAGCCTCACTCCTCTGGGTCAGTTGAACCCTCTGGATGTGAAGGCTGTTGCTCTGGTCTGGGCTAGCAGCTTTCTACAAACATAATCCATTAGTTCTAAATAGAGATTGAGCCTCATCTATTGCCTTGCTGTCCTTTTTCCACCATGTAAGGAGCATGATTGAGCAGGGAAATCACCTTATTTTCTTGTTGGCAAAATACAACCTGGTTTCTTGTAGAAAAATCTGCCCTTCTCTCATTTTAAAATCTATCTCAAGCTTTGTTCTTTCAGCAGCTCCATGAACATAAATGTAGATTTAGTTCCAGGATTAAGAATCAAGGTCCAGATTGCCGGAACTCAAGGCAACAGGACTTGTGGAAAATTCCACGTTATGTCTTATCAGATCAGAGCAGATATGGCAGCCTGTAAAGTGGTGATGATTTACACTGGGAGCTGAGCCAGTGTTAGGAGGTAACTTCTTGCACACACCGTAAAAAAATTACTCTGAGTCTTACAAGAGATGTAACTTGTGTTCAAGCACTTTTATGAGGGCTTGGATTTTGATGTGTCCTCTCTGAGGAGAGCTATCCCAAGGTATTAAGACTTTCAGAGCTTGCTAAAATGACTCCCCACATAACTTCAGTTTGTTTTTTTTTTTTTTAACACTCCACTGAAGCAAAATAACTCACAGGTTCATAAGGTGACTTTTTTTTTTTTCCATTCTGTTAAGTCTCTGGTTTTAAATAGGCCTGTACTGCCCATTAAGATATACCTGCTACTGCAGACCTACAAATCTTACCATGCTCTGATTCGTGGTTTAGTCCCTTTCTAATTTGAAAGGCCAGTTTGGGAAAGCAAACTAAGAGCAGCTGATGTTTGGGAAGGGAGGGATCTCTCCCTTCTCTGAGGCATGCTGTGGTAGCCCTGGCAACTCGGGACGGAAATAGGTAAACCTTGCTCTGGACTGTCATTGCAAGTGTGACCTGAATGAGAGGATTGAAGAGAGGTCCAATTCTTTTGCAGGCATTATCCATGCTCGAGGGTTAGTTCGGGAGTGCTTGGCTGAGACGGAGCGAAACGCCAGATCCTAGCCCGCCACTTCAGCTGCAGGACCCTCCACCTCCTCACGAAGAAAGAGTAACACTTATTCCTTTTGACTCTTGAAACATTCAGATGAATTCCTTTATTTTGAATGTTTTATCTTTCTTGTTTTGCCCTTGCAAAAATGTATAGTTAAGAAAGAGAAAACAAGGATTTTTCCACGTTCTGAGGGTTTGCATTTTGTAAAGACGTTCAGACTCCCTGAAATGTTTCTAAAACATGAAAACTGAGCTGCATGCAGAGGAATGCTCCTTCTCTCCCAGGCTACATTTCAGTTCTCTTCCTACCCAGCCACAGCCTCACTCTGTTTTTTGTTTTTTTTTTTTTCTTTGACTATATTCACTTAACCCCAAACTGTCAATCTTTCAAGGTTTGACATAAGCTCTAAGGATTTTTTTTAATAACTGCAGAATAGCATGCTGTACCTAGTAGTCTGCTAAGTCACAATTTGTCATACAGCATAGACCCTGCTTAGAAATAACCTTCCCTTTCTCTTACTTTTCCTTTTTTGTTCGTTTTGCATAAACATTTGCATGACTGTTAGTGCTTTGAAGTCCATTTAAAGTGCATGAGTTATATGGAAAATAGGGAAACCTATTAAATAATAACAAGGTCCTGGAAAGCTAATTTCTACATTAAGGCTGGAGATTTCAGTTTAATGTTTGCCAAAAAAGAAAATTCTGGATAAATAACTAGAACTGTTATTTGCATCTTTGTATGTATTTATTACTTGACGTAATAAAGCTTATTTTCATTAACAGTTTGTATTAAAACTATGTACAGTCACTTTAATCGGGTTCATGCTCCATGAACAACAACTCTGAACAGGTAAGATTTAACCTTCATGCAGGAGGCTCAAATTCAGGAACAGGCAAAGGAATGGGCCTGCAGGTCACTGCTGTGTTTCCACCTGTGGCACAGTCTGGGTGCAGCTGATCTCTGTAAGAAGGTGGCAGAGTTGCCAGTTGATTTCCAAATGCATCTATGGTTTCAGTTCTTGAAGCACTCTCCCTTCGCTGCTGAATGCCAAAGCTCAGTGGCACTGCCATCCAACAGTGAAACAGAAGTTCTCATTAAGCAGTTAGAGTTGTTAAAATGATTGAAACAGGAAAGTATACTTCACCAGGGGCTCCAAAGTAACAGGAAAAGCAGGAAAAGCAGCTGCATGTGTTTGCATAAAATGGGAAGCTGTCAAAATCAGTCAAGATGCCAAAATGCTCAAGTTTAACTGCAGCATAGCGTAAGCATAATAAATGACTGTACAGTCAAATCTAGATCCTAAGGAAGATGGGATAGTTTAGATATCTAATACATATAGAGCTATGGATACCTGAAGAAAATACAGTATGAAGAGGCAAAATTAATTACTTCACAGTTTGGATGGATTAGATTCTGTTGCCTTGGGAGGCAGCTTCCAGCATGTGTTGGTCTTTATCTGTAATGACCCAGTTTTACCTTTTTGTTGAAGAAGTTGACTGAGCAGCCCTTGCTTGCAGGAGTGCTTTCCCCTCTGGAGCTCATATCACTGCTCCAGGTAAGATTTGTAAAGTCTCCATTACCAGTGTTGGAATGTTTGCAGCTCCTTTTGAACAAGGACTGGTTTATCATCTGAACCTGGCAGAAGCAGCTGCTAGAAGTGATCAGTGAGGCGATGGCAGGTGGAAGCAGGACCACACGGCTGCTGTTACCCCTGCAGCTCTGCAGTGATGGTGGGTCACTGCTCCTTCTGTGTCTGGGTTGTGCTTGGGAACCCCTGCACCCTCTGTTTGTCTGGAAACTGTGTTTAGATAGGATGACAAATGCTTCCCTTACCCTGCTCAGGCGAGTCAGTATCTCACATGATTATTTATTATCCAATTGTTGCATCTCTTTGAAATGCTTTTTCCGTTCTAGGTTTTCCTTTGCTCTCCTTTTTTTCTCCTGCTTCTTTTTCTCTGATGCTTTCTTCTCTTTGAAAACATCACTGGCCTCACCTTTGTAGAAAAGGTCAACCTTTTCCTGCAGGATTTCTCTGGCGATCTTCCGGTTCTGCTCCACTGATCTTGTTTGATGACACTGAAGAAATACAACAGGACATTTTTACTGGAACTTGAACCTGTTTATTCTTCTGCTGTCCATTTCAGTTTACATGCTCCTGCCATTACAGTAAACAAAGTCTCCTCCCCCTCAAGCCAAAAGAATCCTCCTGCCAAGAACTGCTGGGACTCTGTGTCCAGATGATAGATTTTGGAGGGGCTGCCTAATAATTATTTGCTACTGTAACTTGCAATTAATTTTGCATTAATCTTTAATGCTTCCATATTACCTTGGAAAGCTTCTTCTGAGTTTTTAACTGTGTCTTCTCTTTGTGATAAGGAAGCGAAGATTAATTTCGAAGTATTAAGTCACCAGAAGTAGGTAAGAATAATGCTTAAAAAGAATCTGCAAAGGAGCTATGGTCAATATGGTAGGGAAGACATTCTGACTCACTTAGGATAGGGGCAGGAAGGTGACAACTGCCACAGAACTGCAGCTACAATGAAGATACTTTTTCTTGAAAACTACAAAATAGTACTGCAGGCCAAAGCCAGGAAGATCAGCTGTGACCCCAAGTTTATCAGTTTCCTGATAGCCAAAACTGCTTCTGGCTTTACAATACATTTAAATTTTTCCTCCATAACATTTGCTCTGTGGTTGTGCTTAAGAATAAAAGGAGACACGAAAGACATGATGCAATTTGTGACTTACCAAAATAAAATATAATTACCTTCACTACGATCCCAGATGGAATATGCTTCAAGACAACACAGTTGTTTGTCTTATTTGTGGCCTGACCTCCTGGGCCATCACCTCTTACAAACTGTTCTTTTAATTCTGCCTCAGTTAGAACAAGGAGATTGGAAGAGTTCTTCTTTCCTGCTGTCTGTAGTAAGGGCACTCTGGGCAGGGAAAATTGCTGCTTCCTCAAAACCCAGGGTCTCCATGATGATGTTCCTATTTCTCTCAGGAGGATTGTAAAGTGAAATAAGCTTGGAATGTTCATACAGAAATGAGGACACAGCTTCTCTGGAATGGAACCTGAAAGAGAAGTGGGGAACAGAGTTTACCATGAGAATCCTTTTAAAAGGATCTAGTTTAGCTGCACAACTTGAGCAATATTCTGGTATTCAGATTTATTGTCAAGGATATTTGAACTGGTTTCACAGGCATTTGTCTTGAAATATTTACCATTCCAAATGGAATTTCAGTTCTCATTGCAATTACTTTTCTTAAAATAATTATTTTGTTGTTGAAAGGAATCTGGAAAACAGTAAATAAGTTAGAACTCCTGCCAACACTTGGAAAATACTAAAGATATCCCCAAAAAATGGGAGGAAAGAGGATATGTCTGTCTTGCAGTCTGACCAAGAAGAGTTTGTGGACACCCTACTCATGCCCAGGTTGCCTTGCTGTCAACAGTACCTGCAATTCACATGTCAACACCTGCTTGAACTCCACCAAAGGAAGAAGGGTGAGGGGGCAGGAATCCTCCTCTGAGGTTGCCTTAAATGTGCTCTAAACTACAGAAAGAAACCTGGAAGAAGCAGCAAATTTACATAATGTAACTGGCCTAATAATGTCTTGGCTTCCCATGTTCACTGGCTTAGTCATGGAAGGCTGCAAAGAGGAGGTAGAGGGGAAAAAGAAAACAATCAGAAAAAACAACAAGACTTCATGCAGAATGTTTCTGTCTGAAGGATATAGATATTAGAATTCAGATCCAGCAGAACAGAGCTTGAGGATTTGAAACAAGTCAGAATGCAACCATGATTTTCACTTGTAAGAATGATGCTTTGATGCTCAGTCAAAACAGGCAACTGGCACACTGCAGAACTCAGCTGTGAGCATTTGCAGGTACAGAAAAATTTATGATTTTGTGTTCCAAGATTCCTTTTTAATGCTAGGTTAGTACAGGAAAGAGTAATCCTTGTCTAAACAGAACACAGGATCTAGCCTTGTCTTTTAACCTTGCTCCATTACAGTGTTTTCCAAATTTTGAGGTTGGGCTCTAGTGTGTGTAGGACTTGGTGAGTGGTCTAACACAGCAAATGCAGTGAACTCCTTCAAATCAGAACTGTTCATTTGTGTTGCTCCTCTTGGGCAGCTCACCCATCCTGCTCTACTCCCCTAACTTTCTAGGTCATCTCTCAAATGGAGGAAGAAGTTCTTGAGTGAGCAGACCACTTCAGCTATAACTTCACATGCTGATTTCTCCCAGGTCACGTTACTACAAAGGCAGGGAAGCACGCACAGAAGTTGTCATGCATTATCCTTATGGATAATGAGGAATGCCAGGTTCTACTGCTGTTAAATGGGACTCCAGCAAGGCGTTAGGTGAGCAATACAACAATACCTGCTGTTATGCTGGCAGTATTTTGACACAGAAGAAAATACTTCAGTGTGGGAGGAAGTGGCACGTGGCAATGAACATCTGTAAAAGCTGAACTTAACCGTGATGAAATAATAATTAAGAAAGCTTTTATGGGCAAGTAAAGATGTCCACTTGGTGGCACTAGAATGTAGTAATAGTTTGGTCTTTTTTTCTTAAAAATTAATGCAGAAAAACAGAACTACCGCCTAGCTCTGAAGTGAGCCTTTACTCAGCAGCAGGTCTAATGCAAGCACTACAGTAGCCTGCTGTGAAACCAAGACCGACAGCTCTGAGCTGCCTGGACCTAACGCGTAAATGCGGGTAAAAAAACATGTTCGCTGCAAGCGTATTTCTGTTGCTTGAAACTATAGCTATAAAACTAAAGAAGACCTAGAAGGCACCACTCGTCTCAAGATTTAACTTCGCACAGCAAGTCTCCACGCAACCCACGCGTTGCAACGCA